GAAAAACATTTTGTGAATCATATAAAGAATTGTTCACTACATGAATCGTAACCACTGCGCGAATGCTGCAGTCAAATTAAAAATATTTTTATTAGTTTGACATGTTTTGTTCCTCTACTAAGTAATTTCGATACGTAAGAAAAACAAAAACAATATCACGTTGATTTTGCTTTATTATCAAATACTTAATACAAAAAATATATTTTAAAATTCAATCTGTGGTTATTGAGATATGAATGTGAATAAATTCTTTAACAAATGTGCAGTTTATCATTTGCCTATCAAATAAATAATGTAACATATTGAATACACCCACACATACACATCCATTTATTACCTATAAAAATTGTTTAAGCAAGTGTGGTCAATTTTTATAACAACTATTCAGTACAATCACACAAGATAGTGTATACTTGTATAGTATAGGTAAACACAAGAAACGTGATGTAAATGTTTGGCACACGTGAGTTTCTTGGCAATCACCATTTTGTATCATTGGAAATATGTATATCGTTACATATTCTAGTTATGTGACCAATGATTTAATGTCAACATGATATCTGTTTATCATTTTTGAATTTTAAACTATGAACATAAACAAAGGCAAAATTTTGAACGGATTTATTTGGATTAAGTGCAATATAAATCGGGCTATTAACGATTTCAGTGATATTTTTATTCGAATAAAGATGGATACTATCCTACAAAAGTCCTTCAGCATGTTCATCGTACTGGCACAAAGCATTTAAGCACATCACTATCGTGTTTAGCGCGTAGTTGACGGACGTGTTATCAGCGTTTCAACTTGAGCCGTTGAACGATCTCGGAGTGTCCCTTATTTTTCGAGCTTGTACGGAACCTACAAGCACACGTGGCTGGGCATCGTTATTCGTCGCACTGTGTCAGTAGTGAGAGTGGTCATGTACTCAACTATCGCGTTCACTAAATATCTGTGATGAATATACTGTTGACGCCGTTTTCGAGGCCCGACCTACGAGTGCCCGACCATCTGCCGGGACTACTGGCGTGAGTGTTTTGTTTATAGTGTTGTGAACTTGTGACAACTCAGTAAACAATGCTATTTGATTGACATTTGTGTGGAGACACAAATTTTATCGATTCATCGATTTCATCAAACTGTTTGTTGACACACAATCTAAATTTGCTTATTCAATGTTTAGATTTTTTTATCTTGAAAACGTATTTATTGTTATATCGCAATCTGTCTGTTGATGTTGGGGCGTTTTTGATAGAGTTATTCGATCATATTTAGCATATGAATTTATAGTAAGTCGCTGAGTCGTATTGTAGGTTAAAATCTACTACCATACGCTTTGACAACAGAATCATGTATTACCTAGAATATCTTATAAAAATATATGGTTTTGCAGAAAAATATGGACGGTCGAAGGTCATATTTTGAATAACTGAATTAAATATAATGCCTTCACGTGGCTTTAAAATATAAATAATCTTTAATAGAACAGGTACATATTTGCTATCGGAAATTTTTGAACAGTGGAAAAGTAAGAAAGGTAAATCCTAATTCTCCAGCAATTGTTATAACGCTTTGGGTTTTTTATTAAAATGCGATGATGATTAAGCAATTGATTGGCATGAAACAATTCTTAATGTTGTAAAATCATAGTTTATTGAATTAAATTATAGTAAAAATTAGTAATTAAGAAAAAAGTAATTCTTGTGGCTGGATATGATATATGCATTGTTGACATTTTGCGGCATAAGAATACTCGTAGAGGTCACCACCGCCCAAGTTTAAGTTACTTAATAATTAAAACACTCACGGCCTTATTACAAAACAAGGTTTTACTTTAGTCTAGGACTAAACCATTGAGCCAGTTTTCGTATTTCGAATTGAAGGTAGATGACAAAAAGATTCAAAATTCAAAACCCGACTCAATGGTTTAAACCTGGACTAAAGATAAAACTTGTTTTGTAATAAGGGGGTTTGGGTTTTCTCTCTCAATAAGTGATTATATTTTTATCATATAAACCAAATACTATAATATATGTATAAGACAAATATGCTTGATATTGTTGAAAGGACAAAAGAAAATTTTCGAAATGGAAATCAATATTTTCATGCCCACTGCTTCTTTTGTGTGGAACAAAACGTCTATAATTTAGATATAATCTATAATCATGCTTCGAAATAATATTGTGCAATAGTTTGAAATTAAAAACAAAGCAGAAAAAAATTACGTTAAGAAAAATTGGAGAAGTCGTTTTGTAATTTCATGCGATATTTTTTATCATAGCACATATTTATACGTGTGCAATTTGAAGACTTTGTTTGTACTTAGGTACTTACGAATAGTTTAATATTATATGAGCACTGGTTCTTAGAAATAGCACCACTCTATTATACATATATTGTTATCCAAATAATAAGAAAGTGTTATTGTTTATTATCAATTTTGCTTTGAATATCTAACCGAAGCAAAACATTTGTCCTTTATTTCAAATTTTACTGGACTTCCTTATTTGGGATCTGATCTAGCGAAAAAAATATGTGTTCCAATTTCAAGTGTTTATTATCTTTTAAATAAGTTAACGACTAGTTGTTATTTGAACAAATATTCCAAATTTAACTATCCAATAAACTAATCGATTAAAAAAACGTATGCCAGTATTCTTAATTTCTTACCAATATAAATGAAATCTGTTGATGATTTTCTACAATTTGCCTTGACATTACTCGGTGAGGAACAAAACAATGTCAATTTTCTGAGCTTGTTTTTTCAAGACGTGCGTGCGACCATCGTATATCGTATGTGGAGTTGCGGAATCTAAAAATACGTAATGGCGGCCACGGCACGTGTCTGGGGCGTCACATCACGTTATAATTTTCACGTGCTACAATATATTACTTATCTGTGCGAGCGTCGTGTGACCACACTTATCGCTTCTTTAGGTATTTTGTACCGAAATTGAATGTTTTTGCAGAACCTACCTACTTACTTAATTTTGCATCCCAAAAAGTGAAAAAGTTTCACGTGAGATTTTTAAATTTAATTATCAGAATTTTAACATTTTCAAGCTTATTTCTTCCATCTCCGTAAAAAAATAATAAATATTATATTCTTCAAAGTAACAAAAAATAAATTCTGCCATTATTTTTTCACACTTTCTTAGACCGCGGCCTTCGTGGATTCTAAGAATTTCTGTACCTATCTATCATACTGCCTATTTTAAAATTTCGATTTCCTTTCCCATCGCCACTTACTTGACAAAATTGCTTATTACATCGTCAAGGTTGTTCTGGATTGAAATAAATGGGGAAGATATTGAATTGTAAGTGTCATCGTCATCATTCGTCTGTATGGAGTTTCTTTTAAAGTTTGCTTTAGGCAATGTACTTTAGGATACTTAGATATAGACAAAATTGTCGATATCCGGACTAGTAACTATGGAAAATTCCTGACGTATGGTAATGGTAACCCTATTCACACTTAAGTTTTTATTTATGTATGAATACACACACACGGTTCTTCCTGCAGACGTGTGACAGGAAAATCATGTTTTCCTTAGAAAACATCATATTAATACAAAACTTTAAAGAAAGTAATTAATAAGACGAAAAGGACATTATACTTTAGATTTGTTTGGTGTAGGTACGTGTGTGAGACAAACATCACCTATCTACCTACACGGTAGCCGCGTCGAATGGCCTTGAATGCGTTTAGTAGGTTAAACACGTGATCGCTCTAAGCATTTTTCCATTACACCTTAACTAGCACTCTTGTGGCTTGTGAATTTTGTGAACAATTTTATACAATTAATAGGCACGGAGGCTAATCTTTTCTTATAATAGGTTCTTCGTGGAATTTTATGTAGGTATTTATTTATAAATAAAATGAATAATCTTAGATTTCATTGATTATATTAGGAGACAATTTAAACAAATCGAAGTTCATTGTAGGAAAAAATTAAGTAATAAGTAAAAAAATGAACATTATAGTAATCGTTTCATAGCGTAACTAACTTCAAAAGATGTCTGCTGCTATACATACATAGGCATTCGTCAGTCCAACATTGGTTTAGCTATAAAAAAGTCAAAACGTAAGCCTGGCGTCCTAGACATGAAGGGTTTAATTTTTTTCTGAGCTTTCAAATTGATTAGACTTTCTTGCTCCAAACTAATTACTGATGCGCTGAAAGTAAACAAATGAAATAATTTTAATAATACATATAGTCAAATTAATTAGGTAGACCTTGATAGAACTTTTGCTTTGTAACGTTGGGGTAAAAAACGAGCCATGTTAGTACGCAACGCACCGAACAGAACATTCGGTATTAACTTCTAATTAAATAATAGTTCGGATACAAGATTCAATTGTTTCAAATAGTTCGCAACGGCCTTGGAACCACGTTTTGTGATCACATGTCTCTTCAAAGAGAGCCTTGAGCTTACACAATCTATTAACTTTTAATATTCACTTTGATCTCGGCACTTGGGGATAATATTGTCGAAGTTGACACTAAGGTCACGTGGCTTCGAGACATGGATTTGTTTACGTGAAATGATATGAGAAAGCGAGTCTGATAAGACGGCGTTTGATAAAGCTTTATGGAAACATATTTTTCAAACTAATCGCGTTGAGTCGATTTGGGAGCAAAACGAAGCTCCTACAGGAAGTCTTCCTACCAAAACAAACCTTATATTACTTGACTTCCTCTCGGGGTTGCGAGTGCAAGCGTCTTTAATTTAACGCGGTCCGTCTCGGAGCAGGAGAAGGAACGGGGTGCTTTTTAGTCAGTAGGAGTTTAACATTTTGTATAGCCCTAGCCAGGGCGTAAAATTGGATGATTGAACTCCCTTAAAAATATCATCTAGCACGTTTCTGTTTGGTTGCGAGTGCGTGTTACTTAGTAAGGGCATAGATTGAGTGCAATTACCTTTCATCGGATCACAAGAAAAGGTCTAAAAGATCTGCATATTTTACTCAATAATAACGTTTAATTTTTCCTTGTTACAGTTATAATTCTAACGACGGTTTCGGCCGTGTTGCTGGCGAGCAGCTTAACTTCGCCGCGCCATCGGAAGACGAGGCGGAGTACCCGCCCGGAGCCTACTTGAAGAAGGGGAAGGTCTCGAGGGCAAGTCATACTGAATATGCCCATTTTTATTCTTTTATCTGTTTGATGTTAACCTGTAGAGGGCAGACCCCTTTTTCTGTTAGAGTAGATAGATAGATGTTCCTGTGAAAGCATGCTGTTGGTATTCTAATTCTTCTTTCAAAATTTTTGTTTCCTTGACTTGTCGATCAAGTCAATTCTTTGAAAAAATTAAGTATTATGCCGCTTTATTGGCGTCTGTAGTCCTGTGTCCTGTTTAAAGTGCCTCACAAAATACTCATTATCCATTTGTTTATACAGCAAGACCCGATGTCGCACCGGATCATAGAGAAGCGTCGCCGGGACCGAATGAACAACTGCCTGGCAGACCTGTCGCGGCTCATTCCGCCCGAGTACCTGAAGAAAGGCCGCGGCAGGGTCGAGAAGACAGAAATCATCGAGATGGCCATACGCCACCTGAAGTACCTGCAGGAACGCGCGAACGGTTCGTACGGAAAGCGCGCTTATTTGGTAAAATCAGTTAGTTATAATTGGAAAACAACAGGAAAGGTACTTTTGGATTAAGCTCCAACCCGTCAGATCTTTGATTCCGTTCTGTGAATGACGAAAAAAGTCGTACGTATCCATATGCTATCTCCAACGCCATCCATCGTTGGATCCAACGTTGGCCACATTCGGCGCTATGCTACCACTATTTTCTAACATTTGACGTCATAGATAGGAATTGATCGATCTAATTGGTTGGAGTGTTTGAAATTTAATACAAATTGTATACGGGCTTGGTTTTGCGAAGGACCGAAACGGCAAAGAAATGTCGCAGATTCAAGCCCTAGTTGTTTTTTATTTTATTTTTCAATTATTTCTAACATAGTCTTGTATTTGCCGAGGCACACAACTATTCCAGTTTAACATTAAGAGTAACATTATAATGAGGGTCAAAACATATTATACTCCGACTCTTGTTGCTGCCTGGTGAATAAAAGACTTTTTATATTTCACTTACAAACAACAAATGAGTATTTAAATCATTTCTTGTTGCCCCACACCCGAAACTTTTAGTTTTTGTACAGTACTCACTGGAAGTCTGCAGTAAAATTAAAATTCTTTTACAAAATCCTAAATATTCCGATTTTTTAAAATCACTCTCGTTAGGTAACGTTTACGTTATAGGTTGCCGGTTCAAACTTCTTACGACATGGTTTTCTTCAGAAGCTTTCAAATGTTTTAAGATTGATGTCAGAATACAAAGGAAATAAGCAAGCTAGCTACATAAATCCTTTAAAATAATAACACTATATCGTATTCCTGCATGATCTCTGAATATTTAAAGTTATACTCGTTTAACAAGAGCATTAAATATGTATCAATCGCAAACAGAAAAGAAACTGTTTTGTGAACTAAAAAAGAATATAAATCATAACTAATACCTATTTGGAAAAACATTTATTTAGTAGGGCATCAACGACATATATCAGTATCTATAAAATCCGGCTTTGGATGGATTATTAAATTCGAAAAGTATTAAAAGATCTTAACTATATCTTAGCAGAGTTAATAATTAGCTACTTACATTGAGCCAGTTTTAAAAGAGAGTTACGTTTTACGCGGACCATTCATTTCAAATTTTGAGGCATTTCAAGCTAGTAGCGTAACAAAGTTTTTGTATCACGTTTAAATGTAAAGTAAACAAAACTTATTCATTAATATTGTTAAGTGTAGTCACGTGGCGGTTTGCGTCACCGCGTAATAAAAGTAGCTAGACACATTAGTATTTCAAGTTGTCATGAATAAATCAATTTTAAACAAGTGAAAGCAAATTATACATAATTTCATTATCAAGGTAAAGCTTCCTAAGCGTCTTAAATTAAAAAATCTGACTCAAAAATTCTCAAAAACTATTTTAATTGATGCCCGATGATTTCTCATCACATTTCATCCTTCGCGCGTAAACCATACCAACCTCAGAACGTAGATATTTTTTAATAATCAAAGGCATATTCAAATGAGAAATTTGTCCTCATGAATTTACAAAAACATTATTTCACGTGGTTTATGCCCGAATAACATTTACAACATGAAAATCGCAGCACCGGATCACCAATCCATTAAAAGCCCCATCTGACTAAAACATCGCATCTCACTATCACCATTAAGGTTTAAAGAAACACGCTTATTATTTAACACTGAAGAACGCTAATGTTGTTGGGAGTTCCCGCCGGAAGATGTTCCATCTTCGCGTGGGGTTCTGTTGTAGCTGCTGACCGAGGAGTGGGGGAGGAGCACTTCAGGGCTGGCTACCAGGACGCGGTGGCCGAGGTCATGCGCTTCCTAGTCGAGGTGCACGGTTACGGGCCAGGAGACGGCCTGTGTGTGCAACTAGCCGCGCATATGCAGAGGCACTGCGAGGCCGTTGCTAAAGGTTGGTGTTCATTAAAGTTTATCGGTCTTCGTAATCGGTTAGGGTAACGTGTTTTACTTTAACCAATCTTTATTGCAAGTCTTATTAAAAATGCATTTTGTTTTACCTAATATTTCAGTCGCAAATACAATAAACTCGAAGTGTTTGAAAAAATCATAAGGTTACAAGCAATAACGCAGCAGTATGGAAACAATTAGCAAACAAATCCCGCAATTTACAGGTGAACCCTTACCGCGCGACAAGCAGCGTTCACACCCTGGCTCTTCCTCGGAAACGGCGAGTTCGTCAAGTAGTTCGCACGGCTACACTATGAAGCCCGGAGTGATCGCGCAGGCGCCGCCCCCCGCGCCGCCTCCCTTCGCCCCTGAACCCTACGAGGAGCGCCCCCAAGAACACCCATACTCCATGGAATGTGATCGAGGTAACTTGATTTTATTGATATCTATCTATATTCAGATGTTCAAATCGGACATTAACTTCTTCCACACTGATGGTCAAAGTACAGAAATTTAATTTAAGGTTTAAATTAATTAAGGAGAAAGGTTTATTGAACCATTTGTTTCTTAAACCTTTAATAGGTTGGCGCGGTGGCTGGGCAACTGGCTGCCGCACACTGTGTCGCGGGTTCGATTCCCGCACGGAACAACTCTTTGTCTGATCCATAAATTATTGTTCCGGGTCTTGGTGTGTGTGTATGTGAATTGTTTGTTTGTAAACGCACCTAAGACACAGGCGAAATTTCTAGGTCGGGGCAACGTTTCTTTTAAGCAAAATAGAGAGTCAAATCTACCGAGTTTTTATAAGTCGGTCATGATTTGATGGCTGAATTAGTCAGTAGGTAGCTACTGACGTCACATCATGATACGGTGGGAGGGTAATGATCGAGACAGCCTAAATTAATTTGTTATCATTATAACCTACTAAGTATAAAACTTAAATACCTAGACACAATTCCGACCATTAGATTTACTTAATTTTTTTATGCTATACGTTGGCAAACAAGAGTACTGTTTCCTGATGATAAGCAATCGGCGCCACCCATGGACACCTACAACACTTGACGAATTACAAGTGCGTTGTCGGCCTTTTGGGAACAAGAGGTTTTGGCGATTTAGACATTGAGGGGATGAGCGATTGGGCCGCCGGTAACCTCGCGTCGGCGGAACACAAAGATGTGGTTATTTCGCGCCGGTTTTCTAGAGTCCGTAGTGTCATTCCAGTCGGACCGGTCCTGTTGTACCGCAGCATGGCTCTCCAATTCTTCTTCTCCTAGATTACCTATACATCTCCATAGGCGGTTGTAGCGTATTTACTTCATGGTCATAGGTTATTTCTAGTTTTCTTGAATTATAAAAAAACAGTACAGACTTTCTTAACTTGCAAGTAGTTACTAGTATCAGTAAATTAATGTTCTTAAATATTTTTTCAGTATCAGTGGCACCGACACCCATGGCAGGAGAAGGAGAAAGTTTACCAGAATCGGAGCCTCTACCGCTGGACGGGCGACGCAAGCGAGGCGAGCCGACCCTACGAGCCGTGAGGAAACCGGACCACACCGAAGATTACCTGCATTCCTACAAGTTCAAAAACTCCATTGAAAGACGATTTTCACGATCACAAGACACAGAGGTAAATTAAATACTCATTGCTATGTCGGATTGTAGACGACACGTACATAAAAAATACTGAAGTTCAGCTGAACCTGACAAACAGTAAATGATAATATTGAACTTACCTTTGTAGGCGGCGGATATGTTGGCCCGCACTGCGCACGCGCACGGTAAAGTGTACTCGCACAAGCGGCGACGCGCCACGAAGCCGGCGCCGTCCACGTCCACGTCCAACTCCGGCTCCACGGAGGACGCTAGGGACACCTCGCCACAGGTACAGCTTCATTCTCTTAGACTGCTTTCTAACAATGCGCCTTGCACATTATGTTCTTGTTAACCCCTACAAGCCTACCAAGCTATATAGTCCACAGGGAGACGAGTTCGCATTTAGAGTGAGAAAGGTGGGTGGTCACGGCTCTTGCTTACCTATAGATGGCTTTGTCGTTAGCCTCTTTTGCTTCTTAAATGTCTCTGAATGTCAGGAAATGATTATTCCTTTCCTATTTGAAAAATTTACAGCTTTAGGCTTGTAGCACGGCGTCTTCATTTTATTTGTGCTTCAAAAGGAACTGCTCTCAACTCTTACTAGTTTTGTCTATATAAATATGTAATCTGCTTACAGGATACATCGAGTGAATCACCTCATCACCATCATTATGACAAACCACCTCCTCCGGCGCAGTACGTCCCAGTTTTCGCGTTGAATGCTCTTGGTACGTAATATTTGATTGATTTGACTGAAGTAAGACGTATCCAACATTTATTTATACTATGAATAAACCTTAACCTTTACATTTTACAGGAAAATATTACGTTCCGCTAAGTGTGGACTACGCGTGCCTTCAAAGGCACCTTGGTCCTTACGACGTGCTGGACGCTCGGGCAGTTCACCTGGCAGCTCCGCTGCACCCAGTGACGATCCACGTCAACTTTCAGCCCTGTCTCAATTACCACGTCAAGCGGGAACCCAACGAGCGAGACCAATGGCGAGCTGTATAAGTGAGACACTTACCCAGTGCCTAAATCTGAGCTACGGTCGCCATATTTACAGTAACGGCGCCAAAATTTGAACATGACAGCTAATATTTTTAAAATATTTCAATCCTAAAAATGAGCCTTATAGCGAAGCTATTTTTCGGAATACATATATTTTTCTATCAAATGAAATAACAGATATTTTTGAGATCACGTATTTGTAATAAACATAGAGTCAACCTTTTTACATCTAAAGATCCGCTGCAAACATTTATGAAATGCGCGAAAAAGGTGTAATTCGTTGAAAAGACAACAACGATTGGCCAAAATAACCGTGAAAAGTTATCTTATCGATTTTAGAAATGTTAGTTCAGCTGTGTTTTGTATAAGTGTTATCAGTCTCTCCAGCTGTTCTAGTCAAATGTGAGTCAAATCCAAAATTAAGTGCAATGTGGAACGTTGCAAATGTAAATATTTACATATAACAACAAATCTTCAAATTTTGGTAAAAAATAGTTTATTCTGTGGGCAAATCCTGAAGACATTATTAATTGTAAGTTTTAAGCTATGAACACATTTTGCCCACAGTTTCCACGGCGGCGTACTGTGAATTTATTTGAAGGACTAATAATGGTGTGGACAATGTTTTCAGTGTTCTTAGTTACGGCTGTGATATGTAAAGAGTAGTCAAAATATAGCTGACAGCTGTGGTGCATTATTAACAGTAAAGGAGGGTGGTTCGACATTTGATACTTGCTATATTAGTATAACAGTACAGTATAAAATTAGAATTAAAATAATGGGAATGATGTGTCAGTGACTAAATCATTCTTGTTTTACTTTTGTATATATTATGTTAAAATATTGTGCTGCTGTATCAATGCAGAAACATCCTTGTACCAACTGATGATAACTCTCCTCAGAGATCAGACGTTACTAATAATTTGAAACACTATTTTAAGCTGATTCAAGGCCTAAGAAATTTATTTTGTAAGACATGTTTTCCCACCAAATTCCCATAGCCCTGATATGCGCTTCATCCATAATGCATTAAGCATGTAAAGGAGCTGCTAAATATTGTTTCAAATATTTTTAATTTTACTTAGTGTTTGGAGGTAGTGGTGGAGTGTGGTGTCTACTTGAGGACAAGATAAAGACTGAGGTTTTTATTTAGCGGTAAAGTTATCATTGTTTTACATTGGATTCTCACTCAAAATATTATTTACCGCAGGTTAGAGTTCAATGTGCAAAGAAGTGTCAAATTTTACGTAAATTTAGTTCTAAATATAATTTAAAATAGTCTGTTAAATGTATACTTTATTATATTTTGTAAATACATTAAACTTGTTTAAGTAATAAATGTTATAAATACTTGACAGAGTTGTGTTTATTATTTGTTTCAGTTGAGTATTAACACATTGTGTGATGAGACATGGATTAAAGGAAAGGCACTACATTCAAACGAAGATTTTATGTAATTAATTATCATAACATCTTTTATTCTCTAGTATTATTTTAAATTTTACATGCTTAGTTAAAACATTGAGAAAGAAATAATAATATTTAACATCTGGATAATATACAGCTTTCTATTTACGATCCACTTAGCGTTAAAAAATTATATTAATATATATTGCAAAATATTCCATTGTTACATCGAATACCTTACATGAAACATATCCAACGGGGGAGCGGGACAAGCCGAAGGTGGGTGCGATCACAAGGAGTGGGAAGTACCAATAAACTAGCTTCATAATATGGCAAACGATAGAGAGTGCGCTTTTTGTTCACCATAACAAAATATAGCTTTCACTTAACATTAACTATTATAATATATACAAAGACGCTTCTCTACGGGTTGATATAATTAAGAAATTTTTATCACAAAGATTTTCATCTAATATACTACAGAAACATTAAAATGTTGGACTGCGTTTTGTTGCCTGTACACAATTCTATGTACATTTTACTGGGCTGCCGTCGGGTGAACATTAAAACTACAAATATGTCAAATTCTACATAAAGTTCCTACTTTAGTTTAATTTGTAACGCGAGATAAAGAAGACTAGTTGGAAGTACTATTTGCTTTAGAGTACGCACACCAAAACGCATTCCGACAGTAGATATTAAGCAATTAATTTACATTTTATAAACCAGATCGAAATATTTACAAATCTATTAGACAGACACCGACACTGTGGCTCCAGTCGGGCTGAGAAAATGCTGAAACATTTCATAATAAATCTACATTTGATTCAATAAAAAAAAATCATAAAAATCTTCCTACAATATTCTTTTTATACAATACAAAAATAATAAAATCATGGATTAAATAAAGCTGTTAAAATATATTTTCTGTGTGTTAACAACTATGTGTATTTGCCTTCGAGGCGTATTATTGCAACGTATTTCACTAGAATCTAATATTTTAAGATTATGCGTAAAACACTTAATTTTTAAGTGGTAGCTTAGTGACGGCCCGACATCGCGGGTAAGTAAATAAAGGAAGTGCAACTATATAGACTTTCTAAATGGCTGCACGAAATAGGAAATTATTAGTTGTAATAAATGACAACTTCGATATGTACTTTTAGACACACGCCTCACATGGGTTTAATGAAATATAATAAATAAAAATTTAATCATAATCGAACATTTCATCGTGAATTAATTAAGTCACCGGAATTGCTAGTTGACAAATAAATAGTACATATTGTATGTAATTGACACGCAATAAGCAGCAACTTTCGCTAGACATTATTTGACAGACCTCAAAAAGCACACAATCTAATTACAAAAAGGGTTCCCTATAAAAACCAATTTCCTGGAACCCACAATAGAAAATTTGAGCAACAATTTGGATGAAACGTCAGACACTGGGCTTATAAACGTAGTTTGACTACATAGATTTTAATCCTAAATTGCAACAATATTCACAGTTCGATTTACCTAAGTAGTGGAATCCACTAATAAAATAGAAACACCGACAAGTAATTACCACTATCAAAATACCAGCGCCTATAATTTAAAAAGAGAAGCACGAAATATAAATACGAAGAATTTCTTTTACAAAGAATTATTGCATTCGGTTAATTATTGCAACCTTGGTCACAGGCGAAATTATAGTAGAAATGTTTAGATGAAGCAAATTATCAATTGTACATGTAACATTCGTTTCAATACTCACAGAGTACCTACTCAATTACACTAAATATTTAGTTATTAATTAGACTAAACGTGTAACACCTGTTTAGGCAACAATCGCACTGGGAATATTAGGAAGCAAGTTCCGACTGCATTCAGTCACATCAGTGCTAAATGTCGCGTACAAGCAGAGATGTAAACTAAAACTAGACCTACCTAAATATAACAAACAGAATATTTTGCAAGTGCCTGGTCAAAGCTTCCTTAGATCACTGGGTGCTTCTGTGATAAACACTATTTTAGCCCGAGGTTATTCACAACATCGATTCGTTGTTATTATAGAAGTATATACAAGCGGCAACACATTAACAATTGTAAATATAACGGCACTCTTACAGCAATAAACAAAATATCGCAGTGTTTTCAGTGTTCAACTCTGCAGTTTAGTTCTTACAAAATAACGTAAGGTTTGTAGAGTAAATCATCTAAACTGCAGAGTTTAAAAATTATGGTTTACATTTGTTAATATCATGCGGTGTACGCAGCGTGTTACAAACAGCTGGCTCGCCTATGACACGGAACAACACAAAACAATGTACACGGTACATATTTCATCTGAACCTCCGCACTTTGTATTGTAACACACTGCAAGTCCGGGTTCCGGTATAAGGATATAATTAACGAAGAGCACACAGTACTAACAAGTAATCAGTACTATTTATAAACTGCTTTCATGTATTAATTTGCTGTATCAAACAGAACAGGTATAATTCTAAGGGTAGTAGTACTAGTGTGATTGCAATTTATATCAGTCAAATTCACGACCTCGTTTATCCAATTTGGATGCAAAAGCCACGTTAAACTAAAACATCGGTCACGACACCACTTGGCAACGCTGCAATATTAAACAATTTATATTTTACTATGAACAAAACCGTCCACATATAATACTTGAAACATAACCAATAAATATTTACTTTCGATCTATGCAGAGAAATGGTGCCGGGTGGTGTCGCGGACAATGCATCGAGCACTATTACCCAGCTGCCTCAACATTCGTCCTTGTGATGATGGACCAAAGAAATAAATCTTTGCACAATACACTCTACTTAAATTATAACACAGATTTAACCTCTACAAATGGCTAATGCGAGAATGCGTATCTGTATTGAAACGACTCTAAATTACACGTGAAACCTCTAACACTAACAAGAGACCTAGAACTAGGACGAGCCCTCGGACCCCCTATATATGCTAGAAAACATAAAACAAATAATAAAAACAACTATAATTTACTTAAACATTATGCGTACAAAAATCCTAGCCGTCATTCCCTAAACGCACTATCGAATAAATCGATAATAAATAAATATATCAATAAGATACATAAACATTGTACATATATAAAAAATCTTTCATACCATTATACATAGATACGTTACCCAGTAGGTTCCCTATAATATATCTTAACTCTCCTATATACAATATGTACAAAGGGAAATAAAAACAATTTGTACTTGCAGAAAACCGTGGAAAATAAAAACGTAGAAGTAAAACGGAAATATACAATACGCGCGCATCGCATACAACGTACACTCTTAGAAAAGTTCCTTTATACTAGTTATTATATAATACAGGCGACGGGTGTGACTCCGTCTGAGATTTACAAAAATAATGTCTTATAGTGAGCTCACAGCCCACAGCCCACTACCTGTCGCACCGCTTCGCACCGCCCGCGCCATCTGCCGGACAAAGCATACCAGCGGTTAGAAATGACAACGCTATACTTGCATTAATATTTTATTCAACGTGCCAACATAAATATACCTGTATTATGTACAAAATATATAACCTATATAAATTAAATTGTTAAAGACCAAACAATACCTAAGTTCAAGTATTATCAACTTGTTAAATAAAATCCGTTTATGTTAAGGTTTAACCGAACGTCAAGGACGCGGCAAGGACACGTAATAATTAGTAAAGATACGTGTAGCGAGCATTACCTAAAGCTAGGATTATTTTGAGTATATAATAGTTAAAAAATTCTTATGATCTATTTATCCTCTCCTACCCAACTTTAACCCTTTCACTCCCGTTTTGTACCCATAAGCTGTGCTATACGTATTGCTATTCCACTGGTCTTCTTGACAGTCAGATGAAGCAGGAGTGATTCGTGGGGTCCCCCTATTTGACGCTGTATGATTCCGCCCCGAGTGGGCGGCGGGTTTGTCAGTGCAATCCCCCAAACTGTCAGTGCCATGTCCCTTAATGTTGTTATGTCTCCAAGTGGCCATACCGGTGTTTTCGGTAGGTGGTCTAGTCTCTTCATCATCAGGTAAGGCAAGACCAAACTCCCGTCGTAACCGCAAGCTTAGGTTTTCCCTTTGGCGCTCTGTGGCTGTCGGCTGAGCGTCAAACACACCTGTGAAAACAGAAACGAGTTTTAAACAATAGCTCAAATTATCGGGTGTTTTCATAATACATACATTCTATGAATACCAAAAAATAAATTATTTTATGATTATATTTTTTTCAAGATGGAAGGTTTTGTTCTGAATGAAAACAATATAAAATAGTTTGTTCGGTAAAAAGAGATTCATTAAAGTCAATATTTGATTATCAAATATTCTACTTGATCATAGAGCTTTTTAACTTTATTAAAAATGAAGACAGAAACCCCCATTCTACGTAAAACGTTTAACATTGTCGCAGATAAAATTTAAAAAAATGTGGTGCAGCATTATATAAAATGAATTCTCGCGATTACGAATGCAATAAGAACTTTATACGTAGCATAGGTGTCGGATTATCTCACTGTGTGAGCATGTGGGTGTATAATAAAAAATCCTCGTATGAATATTAGTTAGAATTCTGTACGGCGCAGTTGTGTTTACAGTCTTGTAGTCAAGGTCGAAGCGGTAATGATTTTAGTCTTTATTGCGGCGCTCCTCGCTCGTATACGCGCGGCTAACGTTATTACATACTTTGTGTTAACCATCTAAACAGTTTCTGTTGTTTTATTGAGATGTTTCCTTCGGATTAATTATTATTTAAAAGCTTTATTACAAGTTGCGAAAATATCAGATCTATACAAGAAATCTTTTAAGGGCCTCAAAAACAAAACATTGTTTTTAACTCAACTTGATCATGCGACCTTGGAGTTAATTGGTGTGCTGAATATTTTATAAGACTGAGCTTCTCGTGGTTATTGAAAACAAAAAATAATTATTTAGTTCTGCAATCTAAAAAAGTATTTTACCTTGCATATGAATAATGAGACATGGCAATACAGCAGTATAATGAAATTGCAACAATACAATAATAAAACCTACTGCTTTCGATTGCCGTTCTACCTACACGCGTACAAATTTATACATTTATACATATTGATAAAGTTGACACGCGCAAAGTTGCTATGGAAATACATGACATAACAACAGTGTTTGCATGAAACTCTGTTATCAATGAATTTAACGCAAAAACATACGAAGCATCGATAAACTGGGGTCGATCATTGCAAAACGAAAACACTAAAGCAACCAATTCATTATTATGTTTATTTTATTAAGTTCTACCTGCTACTATTAGCAAGTTTAATGTCCAAGTATTTGTTATGAGAAAAGACAATGCTTTGGCTTATAATTTTTTTTTTATTTGAATGTGTGTTGTCAAACTACGATAGTGCATTGCAAATTTGCAATGCTTCGGTTGCGCGGATAGGTAATTATGCTCACATACTGAAGTTGTTAGCCAGCTAGCGCGATAATCACATAGTAGAGTGCTAAACAGATGCCTACAAAGGCATCGTTCGTTATAATTAATGATCCCAAACGATTAACTGTATATAAATGTCTACGATAGTTAGGCGAAGTACTTGCAGCTTTAAACAACATTCAAAATATTTATTGCGAGGTATCGGCACCAGTCTCTGAGTAAAGACTACATATAGCTTATTAATGTTTTAATGGTTCTTTTCAATAACCCATTCCCTGTTCTATAATACTACTCCTTTCGAAAGCGCATTCACGGAGGCAGCGTAACAAGCCACGACGGTAATTGCCTATGACAGCACGTAAGTCATGCGCGGGACCAACTACCAATTGAATTAATTGCTGGCGCGCTCCACTTGACGACATAATTGTCTACAATACGATGATGCAGTTTCATAATAACATTCAGATTTTATTGAGTTACCATTCAAATTAGGCTGTGTTTATTTACTATATACTTGACTTATACGAGTGTAAATGTTTCCGTGCTCTGCTTGTAAGAGATTACAAGCGGTCTGTTGTCAGCAAATAGCAAGAGTTTTACCCTGAGTTACAAACTTTATTTGTACTGGTATATTTAGTTAATGTTGAAGGGATAAACAGGTAAATCACCTTTAGGCAAGTGGGAGGCGGCCAGTTCCCGGTGCAGTCGCTGCTCGAGGTCGTCGGCGGCGGCCTGCGCGGCCTGGTCGAGGCGCTGCGGCGACAGGGAGGCGGCGCCCGAGGATTCGCTGGACCATTCGGGGGCCGCCTCACCGCCCGACCCCGCTTCGCCCACCTCGCCAGCTTCACTCGACGACCCACCGCCGCCCTCTTCCGTACACCCGCCTTTGTGCCGCTTACGATACTCCGTTATAGAGAGCTGTGCATACACATACATTTTATTAGTACTTATTTTTTTATAGAAAATTTGAATAAGATACATCATTTGTAAAGACTGGACAAATAGAGCTGAGTATCATTCTGAACATTGTAGTATTGTGTGTGTCACATTCCTGAACAGTAAAATTTATTTTCTATATTAGTTCAAGTGTTTATTACAGAACCAATATATTTTTGTCGATGATCACAGAATCTTGGCTGAGTTCCAAATCAAACTTACCAACCAGCCTTTGATGTCACCTCGGTGTCAAGTAGAAGTGTGACCAGCATAATCATAATATACATTCGACAAGCTCAGTTTGTATCGAATCTTCGACAAGTACCGATAACTGTCCCCTAGCATTAGAATAACATCCGTCGCCGTATCGGTCGATGCACTGTTTTGAAATACTCGACAGCCAACACAGCGAAATGGAAAATCTATTCCATACAATTTATTGTTCATTTCAGTGTACACTTTACAATGAAATATCACAATATAAGCAACTGAGAATGAGAGTCGTAATCGAAAGTAACCTTTAACTATTCAGAGATAAAGGAATGATTAGAATAAATAAACAATTAGATACGAATTACGTAACTCATTCAAGTGTAAATAAAAACAAATTACACATCTAGACTAGTAGCCTAGTAAAGAATTCTTCAGTAGGACGGATATCACGTGGACATCAGTTTTTACCATTATCTAATCTGCGACCTTGGTCTGGTTTTACATGTTCTGTCACAACAGCTCTTAACATTTAATTAGTAGGAAACTCTATTATGTTTTCCGATGCCTCCAGAGTCAGGAGAGGACATGAAAAACATTTTAATAGATTAAGTATTTGACCATACGGTTAACACTTAAAAATAATAATATAATGATAATATTAATGTTAAACAAAGCACTCACCTTCCTTCTTACTGGTTTAGGTTTTTCTACAGGCGGAGGGTTCAGTCTAGGGTCGTTGGTTCGCGGGCAATAAGGCTTAGCGAGTGGTTTAGGGGAAGGAGCTAATAAACTCGCTTTGTTTGAACTGTTGAGCACCCCTGACAATATTACACTGTTATTTGAGTCCATATTATTCACTCGCGTTAATATCTCCTGGACGCTCTTCAGATCGTCTGCTGGCGTAATACTGTCCTTGTCAAACAAACTACTATCTAAACTTGTAGTCCTATCTATTGCACTCTTTATTATAGACATGTTCGGTACGTTCTCATTTATTGAACTGTCCATGTTGAACGACTGAGACATGTTACTGAATATACCGGAGAAAAGTCCTGTTGAACTAAACCGCGACGAGAATGGTAACGTTGAATTCTCTAACACGGACGGCCTGTCGATTGAGAAGGGTTTCTCAATTTTGTCAAGCTTTTCTACAACAGGTGATGCTGGACGAATTATTTTCACAGGCTTCATAGGTTCTTCTGGTAGAGGTATCGTTTCTGGAGGCGGTATCACAGGCATCGGACTCGGCTCCTCAGGCAGCGGTATGTTCTCTGGTGCCGGTAGAGGAATCGACTCCACGGGTGGTAGGGGGATATTCTCGGGCGAAACATGTACTTTAACGTCATCATGAACTGAATTGCTCATGTCATCGTGTATATCTCCATTAATTTCTATTGATTTTGAAGACGTGTCGTTTTCCATTCTCAGCTGCACACTTATCTGATCGTCCACCATATTCAGGTCGAAGTTCAGATTCACTTTCTTCCGCTTTTCCTTTGGTTTCTTGTTTCTACTTTTTAATATTTGTATGTTCTCTGTGTGGAATGAATGTATTTTCTTTTGAATGTCATCCATCTCATCGCGCTGTGGCGACGAGTTCCCACTCGTGTCTGCTGACTGGCAGCTGTTTAGTTTGTCATTTGGGCTTTCAATTCCCTTCACGTCTATGCTGAGGTCGATAGACTCTTGTATTTTAGGCTGTGCAGGTATTGTAGTATCTATTTCCATTGGCACTACTTTATTGTAATTACTTTCGTCCATTTCGACATTGTTGTTATTGGCTTTTATATCATCTGGTTTAGGTATTTCTGGAGGATGTTCATCCTCAGGTGTTGGAACTCCAATAATTCTCCTAATGTTCTCACTGTCATGTGGACCTTTTATATTCATATTCAACATGTCATTATCTATCATGCACTGGTCATCAGAGCCCTGACCGCTGTCCGACCGAGTTCTATCTCTACCATATAAACTATCGTACATAATATTTCTGACTTTAAATTGCCTCGTCAAGGGTTGCACGTCATCTTTGACCGGCGAGTCTTCTGACGTTAAAATAGGCGAGGTTTCGTCATTACACTGCATAACAAAAATGTTATATTAGATCAAGAATTTGTGTTATTATTATTATTATTTTTCAAATATTATTAGCAGTTACTTACAGGCACAATATTATTCTGTTCACATGAAAGCGACTCTCTGGCTAGTCGTCGTTTCTTCAATGGCGTTACCATTTCGTTGGGTGGTGATTCTGAAACAAATACATCTAAAATGAACATAGAATTTCTGTGTCGACGTTCGAAAATACACACATTTGTTAAGTGAAATAAAAGCAAACCTGCAACAGGCGAGTCGCTCTCCTCACTGATGGCTTGTCGTAGCCACCTCTTCTTGGCGCTGTGTTGTTGTATCACAGGGGGCACCACCTCAGCCACCTCAGCTGGCGGCGTACTCCTTGTTATTCGCTTGGCTTTCTTCGGGGGTTTATTTCGATCTCTACCAGGTGTTCGGGGCGGCGAAGCTCTACCGTCTTCCTCAGTTTCTAAATCATTCCCTCCACTGAGGTCTCCAATCATAGTCGATGCAACTCTAACCAAACTTTCTAGCGATGGTGCTGCCACCAAAGTAGGTCTGTAAGGTGACCTATAAGGTGATGGTGTACGTTCCGGCGATCTCCCTATCCATTCGGTAGCCATTGTCTTCTTAGTTTTTGGTAATTTAAATGCGGATTCAACAGAACCAACAGCTGCTTCAACTAATAAGCAGGCCGAGCTCAAGCCTAGTTCCTGTAATGAAAATGTATAATTAGTTAGTATTGACAAACTAATTAAAATCCAATAATGTTGTTTATAATAATGGTGGTTATCATTGTACGTACTTCATGTGGGGCATCGTTGGTGCGGTCGTTGTCAATGGTGGGCGGTGGGACTGCACTGTCACGGTGCGCTGGGGCGGGCCGGGGCGGAGTAAGCGGCGGTGGCTGAGCCTCGTCCCCGGAGGTCACCATATCGCTGTCGGCAGAGTTCAGGCGCCGCCGGTTCGACTGCGACGTTGTTCGTGCACGACCCTTTCGCCTGATCACAAATACACCATCAATATTTGCAGTTATGTACGAATTAACTTTCTGAAAAAGCAGATCTCAATATTTTAGATTCAATACCATTGTAATGTAGTAATAACAGCAACAATTAGAAAAACAGTTTACCCAAATATGAATACTAACTTTTTCCTCTTTTTCGTAGTGTTCTGTACTTCATCATCATCATCCTTATCATTAGCATTTGGATGCGGATCAGACTCTCGCCTCTTCTGCCTTTCTTTCACTTCCTGTTTGCGCTGTTCGGCTTTTTCCATGCGTTCAAACGCCTTCATTATAGCTTCCATCTTACGTTCCTCGCGCGTCTGTAATTTAGATACAGGTTTAGAATTTTGTCTCGTCCCAAGGCTTGGAGGCTGAGCTTCACTTGAGTTTTTCGAACTAACCATTTTTCTCTTTTCTTTTTCTTTGTTATTAGTCTGTATTTTATCTTGGGAATCATCTGTTTTATCATCCAAAGAGTCTTGATTCACGCAAGTCGTTCGACTGGATCTCGATGATCTGTCATGGCATGCTGATTTAGCCATAAATTCTCTAGTCACTGGTCTATCTTCTTCTATTTTCACTTCTTCTTTAGGTTTCTTCTCTTCACACTTTTCTGTTTTTTCTTCATCAGAATACACGGGTTCCTTCTCTATCTTAAATTCCTTGACCTCTTTAACTTCCGCTTTAGAAATGATCGTTGGTCTGGGTTCTTCTTCAACTGGAAGAGGGATTAGCTCGTGTTTTACTTCTTCGAATTTATTTTCGACAGTTTCCGATTTACAGAAGTCTACTTCATCTTCTTCAGGTTTCATTTCTTCTTTGGCTATCAGATCTATTTCAGTTTTGATATCTTCTATTGGCTCTGGTTTAGGCGGTTCATCAAAGTTTAAAGCCATCACAGCCGTCTTCACAGGTGAAAGAGGAGGGTATTCATGTTTTATTTGTTGCGGAGATTTTTTGTCGGATTTCATTGCAGATATCTGTTGTGTGTATTCTTTCACTGGAGTTGTGGCGGCAGGAGCGATAGGTGGAGATACTGGTGACGAAGAACTGAAGCATCTATTTCTACTTCTTTTCTCTCTAGGCGGATAATCCACACTCTTTCGCGAGGCTAACGTGTTGAGGCCATTCACTTTGCAATGTTTCGGATTCCCGCAAGCGCATGGCTGTTTGCTGCCATCAGCATCGTGTCCGACAGTTATTTCAGTGTTAGACTGGATGACACCAATACTAACTAAGTAAACATGCAATGTTCCTTTGACTATACAGTGTTGTAACTCTGCATTTGGTTTACAAGATCTACGTACAAATCTTGCTTCATTTCCGTATGTTCTAGTATCTATGCATATTTGAGTGTTGTCCTTAGGTAATCTGTAGAAGAAGACGAATGGTCCCGGTTTCTGGCTACCTGCTCTAGCAGTATTCTGTAATTGTGGTCGATGCTGATTAGATAACATATATTTGCCTCTTAACTCTATTACCGGAGTATTTTCTTTTAAGTCCTTCGTGGCAATCAGAATTTTCCCACCTGCGTGAGGCACGGTAGTACATAAATGCGCGTTCATAGCATAGGCCATGTTAGGAGTATTACCTAGTTTATTGCTATACTTCATAATCTTAGCCCTCAACTCTGGACTGTAGTGGTTCGTTACAGCAAGTTCGTAAGAGTCTTGGAAATGTGACTGATTTGACATGGTTGAACTGTATTTACTTCTGTTTAGCATCATTTCTTTTTTGCGTTTCACACGTTTTTCAGATAGTTTTCTTTTTGTGCCTTTTCTTACAACTTCTGTTGCCTTCTTCGGCCTCTTAGGTCCTCGCTTAGGTAAAGCCAACGTCGAAGGTTGTGGCAATGGTGGAAGCACTGGTACACTGGAGTTGTATGTGGTGACACATGAACCACTTGTATTAGTGTAGGTGGTGACGGTTAGTAATCGCTTCCTTCTTTGACCTGGAGGACGGCTGCTTTCAGACGAGTCTGTATCTGAAGCTCCAAGAGCGCTCAGTTCTTCTCTCTTCCTCATCTGTATGGCCCGGGCGTGACGTCGATCTATGGGCCGCGGTAAACAAAGCTCGCACATGTATGCATCGGGTATGTTCTGCCTATCAATGCCCATACAGTCGACGTGCTGCCACTCACCGCAACGGTCGCAACAGATCATGTAACCGTCGTCGTGAGTGAAGTCACAGATGCATCTCGTCTTGCCTTCCTCTTCTCCCTCAGGCGCTGTTTCGGTGTCGCTACCTCCTCTATTGGCTTTCCGGTCTCCATCGATTGATGAAATAACTGAAGCAGCGTCATCGTCTGGCGGCGGAGGTGGTGGTGGTTTATATGTGACCGATGGCATTTGTATAGAAGAAACTGGGACAGGTGTTCCAATAACGCTGGTAGGCACTGCTAAAGGCATTTCATAGGATGCTGTGGACATGATGACGGGTGAATTGCGTTTTAAAGGACTCATTGGAGATGTAGTTAAGGTGGGTGAAATTATGGTGGGAGGCGGGCCAGTGGACACCGGCGTGGTAGGCGGAGTAGCTGTAGGTTGCTTTTGCGCGGGTTGAGCGTATGTGTGATCCAGCATCACAAAGGCTAAGGGCTGGAAAGAATATCTTCTTAGCTCTTCTGAAAGGTTTGGTCTTTCTTCCATGCCGATAATGTCGTCTTCAGTCAGTAATGTTGTCTTATCGCCACTGGAACAAAATAAAAGTTTATATTTACACAAACTCTTGTAATTTTAGTATAATTATGCATGACTAATAAATGTTTTATGTTAATACTCACACTACAATTCTTTTTTGATTTACTGGTTTTACTTCCACCGGTTCCTCAGGAGCAGGCGGTAGAGGAGTTACATTATGATTGATTGATGTGGGGTTAGGTTGCAACATCAGCTTGGGTTGTGATAATGATTGCAATATTTGGGCAGTCAATTGTTGATTAGTAACTTGCGATACTGTTGATATTGGATTATCTGTAGTTCCATATGTCTGAACATATCGCAAATTAGGTGTAGACCCTGACTGCACATAATGAGGTCCCTTCGGTAAACTGGTACTTATGGGAGCTGTAGATATCAAAACTGGTCCACATGGTGACTGTAACACTAACCGTTCCGTTTTCGGAGGGAATTTTGAGAGAGATAGTGGTTGGCTCTTATGTGTAGGACTGCCTACTTTTTGTATGACTTTCGATGTATTTGAGTCTGTTACTCCATAACTTGGCTGTTGGTTCTTGTATGTGACACTGGCAACAGGCCAAGTTTTTGCCTCTGATTTGTTAATTGACCCAGTCTGTTGTATTATTTTAATTGGCCTTGATTGGTTCTTTTGGTTAGAAACTTGTCCAGAGTTTTTCGATCCCTTAAAAGTGTTTACAGACTTCCTTCCAGAATGTACAGACATTTTATTGGGTCCTGAGACAACACGAGACAATATATGACATTGTGTATTACCTGATGAGGCAGCAACCATAGTATTAAGATTAGCACCATTGTTTACCTTATTCAATGTTTTATTTAGGTTTGTGCTTTTGGTAAAAGTGTGACTGTAGGAAGTATTTTTAATTGGGCTATTGTTTACAACATTTGGAGACACAGTAGGACCACATCCAATTAATGATTGATTTTTTGGAGGTTTAGAGCAAAGAACAGAATTGCTCAATTTGTAAACATGATTTTGGGTTCCATATACAGGTGCCATTTCCTTTCCTGTTAAATATTGTTGGTTGTAATTTGAATTCTTGGGAATAGATATGTTACTTAATATTTGGACTTTAGATGTCTTGGGTCTGCTTATGAAATTAGTCTCAGCAACAATGTTTCCTCTTCTTGCTTGATTTGTATCATTAACATAACTCTCACTTGTGATAATGATTTGTGACACACCAGCTTGTGATCTCTCATCATCTATCTTATTGGGGTCATTTGGAGCAGCACTAGTGGCAAGTATTGTAGGCAGCCATAAGGTTTGGTTTCCGGATACATCTTGTACATTCTGTATAGATGTAATGTTTCCAACAGCTGCATCAACATTTATTGTAAAGTTCTGAGGCAACTTAGTTACATTTTGAACAATTGCAGTGCTCATTGGCGCTTGTATGAGGGTTGCGGGGTTGTCTACATAATTGTCATCGTTTGAATCTTCTGTCTCTTGAAGTATAGGATATGTTGAGCGTCCAACATTATCTATGGCCTCTCCGAGCCTTACAATTCCACCACAGAGAGAATCCACAGACATGTCAGTATCACAGTGTTTCTCAGCAATGTGATATTCAACTTCTTTGTCTACTTTGTGCACAGATTGAATGATACTTTCAGGGTTTGTAGAATCAGGTTCAGGATCACCTTGAGTGGGAGACAAGGGCAGTGCCCTCAACACAGGAGTTCTCACACTAGATACATTCATATTTGCTAATTTGTGATCCAATACATGTTCATAAACATTTTCACTGGAGGTGGCCGGCCCGTAATCCTATAACAAAACACAAAATTTAATTAATATTTTTACAGGCACTACAGATGACACATATTTTTGAGTTTGTAATGAAGTGTGTCACTTTTGCATAAACTTCATAAATATACATGACAAATCATACATACAACTGTTCACCAACAATGTTTGTTCTTCAGACACTTGATTTTATATACTAATTAGGTTAGTGGATTTTTATTCCATATTTTATCTTATGAGACTGGTTATAATGGTATCTAAGGTACTATTTAATACTATATTCCCTACATGTATCAATGATTTCTAACTGAGAAAAATGTTTCCTTGTTTCTGTCACAAACATAAACTTTAGATTACTCACCCAAACCTGTAAAACTAAATCTTAAGAGGAAATCAATAAATACACCTTTCTTTTCAAATCTTTATTTAATACAATGTCAAAGAGCTGAAAATTGTACCCCTTACTGTTAGAACTTTTACTACATTAAATACACATACAATATATGACTGTAGTTTATATATATGTACCTATAGAATAGAATAACTCTCAAATAGATTAAAAGCCCAATCATTAACATTTCACATACAGTTAGTTGGTGGCAAGCAGGATTAATTGAATTGTGTAACTTTTGGTGCAGGAAGTAGGAAAAGCAGAGTAGGAACATGATGTTATTGGTTACAAAATCATAATATTTACAAATATAGTGCTAAGTGACTGGTTATGTGTCCATGTAGACAGGACTATCTAGGACCTTGGTAATGTGTGTAACGTTAGTAAATGCGTTCTACTCACTTGCCGGGCCGCTGGTTCGTACTCTGGTGTGGCTGACATAACGTATATACTATCATCTTGGGTCAAACCCGAGATGACGCCTTGGAGTGCACCTCGGCCCCCAAATTTTATTTCATGTGACTGCAACCGAAAATCTATTCTTTACCCATATATCTTCAAAATGATCAGGTATACGTGCGGCGCACACCATAATGTTCTTGGTAAAATATTTTTAGTCCACAAATAGGATACGACCGCCGAGGTCATTGTTCCACAAAACTATTTGAAAGTCACTTTATTTTGTACCCTACGAGAAAATATAAAGTAAAACACCAAAATAATACATAATAAACGTAAGGGAAAAGGAATAAATGCGTAAAATAAACGAATAGGTTAATCCACTGCCGCCATTATAGTAGCACGGAAACTGAAATGTCTTGGTAATAAACATCAAAAAAAGTAAACACAATACTTATAAGATATTTTTAACTGAAATCTAACCGTAAGATAGTAGTTTAAACGAAATATTTAACTTCACCGTACTACTAATTCACCTTAGTAACAAAGACATGAGAAATATAAGTACATACGAAAATGAGGTTTGTATATTTATATCACCTCAATAAAATTGTAATGAATTAATTGTACCGAAAACGTTAGTAATTGTTAATTGGAATAAGGAATACACTAAATATTTATAGAAACTGACAACATCACAATAGTTAAGAAGTGTGAAATCCAGATGTAAACACTTTTCGAGAAAATACTAAAGGAAACTTACACTGACCTGTATATAAGCAATTTTACAACACGTAGGACGTAGCGAAACTATTTCCATCAAATAATTGCATAGCACGTAATAAATAGGCCTCAAAGTCCGTAACTACGACCAAAACATTCACAAGAGTCGAAGATGGCGGCCATTGCATTTTCTTGATACAAAACAACGGGGGTTTCATGAAACATGTCGAACTACTAAGTGCTTCCGGTCAATCGAATAAATTTTGATTTAATTATATTGTATTTCAATATATTACAATCTGGGTTATAATAAAGTAAATTAAAAATTAAAAATAATTTTTAGAATAATAAATTACTATTATAAATTGCATAGAAAAGAATTTTAAAGAAAAAAGTAATTAAAAATAGCTGCTTTTTGTTTATGGATAGACTTAAAAGACAATAAAGATCTTTTTTTAATTTTCCGCAAAGAATAGACAAAATGTTAAATATTGTGAATGCGTTCAAAATAACAAACCAACTATTTAGTCTACGGATAGAATAAATTACTATACTCGAGATGTTTAAAAAAATTAAAAACAATCTCTTACAATCTATTTACTTATTAAAATTTACTTTATTATTTTGATCACTGATGAACCCATGTTGTTAAAAAACAACTTTAAACTAATGTTAGTACCATACTTGAGTTTACGTGTATGTCGGCACAAAACTCTTACTAATTACCTTATGCATTCATTTAAAAATTATAGTTATCATAATTATCAAATGTAACGTCTTAGTGAAGTTTTATAAAATATTACCGTCCGACCTGCCTTTGCAGATTACACCGCTCTGTTGATACTGCAAAAGCACCTGCCCCTGCAAATGCCCTTTCTTCTATGCCTGTTTTAAATAGCAAGCACTCTCTTTTTTTAGCATTATAAATCGTTAGAAGTTTGCTGAGGGCCTGAACTTGCCCTCCTGGCCAGTAATCGCATCATTATAGCTTATCTTATGTTATTGACAACTATTCTGACCACAGATTACTATATACTAGTCAGATTCCGACATTAGAAAAACCGAACATGAAGCTGCTGAGCTCACGCTTCACATACAGGCAAATTAATTTTGGTGAAGTCAACCCACCTCCCTGAACCCACGCTATAGGTAGCCCGTGTGGAGCGTATAGCTAATCTTTTAGCAAATACCACAATTTATATTCAAATATATTTGTCACCTGAGCTTAGACTGTATAATTAATAGCTACTGTCCCGTTGTTTCACCCGCTGCTCGGCTCCTACATATCGTAGCGTGATGTTTTATAACTTATATATCTATAGCTTTCCTCGATAAACTGACTAACAGTCACAAAAAGAATTGTTGAACTGGAACCAGTAGTTCCAGAGATTAGCGCGTTCAAACAAACAAACTCTACAACTTAAAATTATATATATAAAAAAAGTATAGAAGTATAGATACCTCCTTGTACCTGAGTTATGTTGTGGCACGTAAGCATGGGCTGGATCGATCCGATTGATACCATGACCTAACATATTTACAGAAAGCAGGCAATAATTAGGTATTCTGTTTTGGTCCCCATCTCATCCCGCAAGGCTGGCAAAATATATTATTGTGGCGTAGCATTGCGTGTCATGTCCTGCCGTGCCGAAATGACCTGGTTTCATATATGTATTTAATAGTACGCGACATGACACGATACGTCCGGATGTCTGTAACCATAGAAAATGTGAAGAGACAGATATGCTTCTAATATTAGGTAAAACATATCCACCTCATCGTCTAGTCTAGTCAAAAGCCTGAATAAATTACTAGGTGTGGTGTCGTAGATCTATGAATCCGGTGCTAAGTCCTTGATCGTTATCATTAGGTAGGTATTCTCTACTCATCTTAAAATAGTCTATGGTTCTTTGAAAAACACGATGACCACAGATCATAAAACATACTACTTCCGTGTTTCGTAAAATTCGTACTGTCAAAAACACGTTTTGTATTAATAAGGTTATGTTGTTAAAAAGTGGACGAAATTATATTGAGATTTAACCAGATTACATTTAATAATTAATAATGAGTGACTTTGTGTTAAACGACACTGACTCAGACGTTGATTCTGATGAGGAAGTAAGTTTCTTGGTGAATTAAAAAGTATTGGCTCCGGTAAATATTAATCGTATTCTTTTTATTTAATTACTTTTCATTTTCTATTTGTAGCTGCAGGAAGCGTTTGCAAAGGGTTTATTGAAACCTGGTCTTAATGAAGAAATAGAAGTAACTCAAAAGAATTATGTAAATAACGTAGCAGATTTAAAGTTAAAACTGAAAGATATTCAGTTAAAATTACCATGGATCGAGACATTGGACTTGGTAACGGCTGTAGCACCGATGGCCCCAGATGTAGCATTACAAATGCAAGAGACTGCACAACGAAGAAAGTATGTTTTGATACAAATTTATTTCGGAATAAGAAAATTTCATAATATTACATGTGTGTGAATGCATGCACATGGGAAAAACGTTTCCTTTTGTAATAACTAGCTACCTAGTAAATAAGTAATGAAAGAAAGCTACTAACTATTACAAGCTTACTAACGTCACTGGTATAACAAGTAATAAGGCTATTTTACTGCCAAAACAATAGTGTGATTGGAGCTGTCATTCATTTACTTGTTATTAACATAATTACTTATTATTAAACATGAACATGTACTTAATCAGCAATAAACAAACAATTTTTTAATTGTTTTCATAAAAATCTTCCTTTTTATTTGTAAATTAAATAATATTTATAATTAAATTTACTATTTCAACAGGTGAGGTAACATGTTTAAAACACACACAAAAGTAACATTGAATTTTTCTTTCTAGAAATTTAAAAGAAAATACTAAAGGTCATCAAGTTTACGATCCTACACAGGACCCAGTACTTAACGAGTTCAAACGAGAGAATCTCTTGCATAGACAAGCTCAAGCTGCTGTTGTTGAAGGCATTAAGAAACTTAAAGACCTTGGAGTCCCCACAAGAAGGTAAAAATATAATCTTTGTCACCAAAAAATCTTAAAAAAGAATAAACAACTGAATAGTGACATTACCCATCGGACCTTATAAATTATAAATCTAATTAATTAAAATATGAGAAAACAAAACAGTAATTCCCAATGATTTGGAGTCAGGAATGATATAGCTTGCTTATTCACAATTTTCAGTAATTTAAATAGCCTTATCAATTACAAGCCAGTTTTCTTGTGATGCTGAATAAAACATAGAATAAATGCCTAATATTTTTTTTTTTCCAATTAAACCATTTATTTTAATATATATAGTAATAATGTTTTTGTCACTTCCAGACCTGATGACTATTTTGCCGAGATGGCTAAATCTGATGAGCACATGCAGAAGGTACGCAAGAACCTGATGGCGAAACAAGCAGCACAGGCACGCACAGAGAAAGTCCGACAGCTTAGAGAACAAAAGAAGATTGCTAAGCGCGTCCAGGTAAAATACTCAATCTAGATTATCTATTGTTCATTTTTAGACTGTATTTAGGCTATAAAATGTCAGGGTATGATCTATAGTAATCAAGCAGCAGGCAAAACTGCTCAAAAGTAATGTAATTAATGGTAGGTTTTTCCAGGAAAAAGTGAAACTGAAAACTATTATATGAATAAATGTTCAAACAGTGCATGCAATACCGTAAATGGGATTTCACAGATGATTGATTAACACTTCTTCTCTGTGTATATTTTAACATAATTACTTTTAAGACATTACTTTCTTTAGCTACTAACAAAAAATATTTTCTTCCAGACTGATGCAAGGCTTAAACAGGCTGCTGACAAGAAGGAAATGTTGGAACAGTTAAAACGTGTCAGAAAAGGCAAATCATCAGACTTGGGTTTCTTAGATGATAATAAAGGTAGCAATAAGGGCAATAACAAAGGAAAAGATGGCAAGGGACCACAGAATAAAGTCAACAAACGACGGGCTATGAAAGACAAGAAATTCGGCTTTGGTGGTAAGAAGAAAGGCTCCAAACAAAACACTAGGGAATCGTCCAATAACTTCGATGGTTTCAATGGTCATGCAGTGCAGAAGAAGGGCAATTTCAAAACGAAATCCTTCAAGGTTAACAGCAAAAAGAATCAGAGACCAGGAAAGTCCAAAAGGAAGAATAATAAGAGATAAGAATTCATTTAGTTTTATAATTTAGAATAAATATTTTACTATAAAAAGTGTTTCTTTCCTATTACATATGGAAAATATAATTATTAATCAAGATGAACCTACACCTTATGTCTCGTACACAGATGTGGTTCGCGACATTAAAAATGATTTCTGACATTAACTTATGAATGTGGGTTGGATAATTGACCTTTAGCTGCTTGTAGTCCATATATTTATTTTATTCTAAATAGGTATCACCACACCAGTTGTGACTAACTAGCCTTAATTGTACCTACTTAATTTGGAATGATATTAATGATTTGCTATCTTATTCATTACCATACCTTAGTAATTTGTTATATTATGTTCCAAACTGTAAGGAATAAGGATAGGTGCATGAATTTTAAGAGATTATACCTTAAATATAGCCTGCATATTTGACGATATCGTCCCGCTAATATACAGAATTCAAGTTACGAAGTTACAAACTTCAGAATTCATAATGTATTATGATTAATATAATCATAATATATTATGAATTCATTCATTCATAATATATTATGAATTCTGAAGTTTGTAACGTTAGCGTATGGATGGATGTACGGATGTTGGTTATGAAATTTCACGCATAAACTACTAAATTTTCATCAAAACAATGAAAAAATAATTTGGTCAGGTGAAAATTTGTGAAAACAGATTATAGTTCTGAAATAACGCATAGGCTATTTTATTCGGGTAAAGCTAACGAAGCCCTGGCAGAACCTCGTATTTTACTAGAAGCAATTGCAGAAGCACTTTCTTTTCATTCTTTATGAACACTTTATTTATCATTACGCTTTTCACAATGATTTCTCGGATGCCCCCTACATTTTACGATGAACTCGCCGGGCGAGTCTACACCGCTAGAATAAAATTCATATATACTCTCCAGGCGATTCGGTGGCCCTGAATGTGTTAAATATCAGTAATTAACAATAAATTGAGCATTCATATGATTTCTCGGATGCCGCCTACATTTTACATTGAACTCGCCGGGCGAGTCTACAGCGCTAGAATAAAAT